CCAAAGACCCACGAAAGCTTGAGAGCTGCAGGAAGCTCCCTTTTATCTCTCCTTTTTCGTCTTTTCCTCACTTTCGTCCCTAGCGTCCGGATGCTTGCTGCAGTCGCCCAGGTAGTTGTCAATATACTCCGTTGGGACCGTTACAGTATGCCTGCCTTGCCTCGGCCATGGCATTTATCTTATCATTACCGAAATGGGGATTCCATCTGCTCCTGGTCAGGGGTAGCTCTGGCGAGAGCTCAAGGGCCGCGATAGAAACGATCTTCTTCACCTTCTTTTTCCGAACATGGAATCCGCGCTCCGTTTAGCAAGACGAAAGGAACTGCTGAAAAGAAAGCTGATTCTCTAAGTGTTAAGGCGACAGGGCAGAAGTCCATCGTGGAAGCCTTGAAGCTTGACTTGCACAACCCACGAGAACAAGCAATTGCGAACACTGTTATTAAGCGTTTCGACCGCGATCACTTTCAACGGCTTCTAATGAACTGGATCGTAGCTAGAAACCATTCTTTTTCCATTGCAGAAGAAAATGAACTGCGAGAAATATTCGACTACTTGAACCCGTCAGTCTCGGTTCGTGACGCCAACCTTACCCACACGACGATCAAGGAAAAAGCCACTTCAGCGTTCAAACAACACAAGCAGAAAGTTGTCGAGGTACTCCGCAAGGCGCCTGGCCTTATCCACATCTCATTTGACGGCTGGAGGTCTGGAAATCGGCATGCTTTATATGGAGTGTGTTGTTTTTTCAGGGACGAAAACAACAAGCCGTGCAAGGTTACAATAGGGGTCCCCGAGCTCAGCGTCAGTCACACAGGGACAAATATCGCGGCCGAAATCCTCGACGTTATCGAAGCCTATCAGATCCAAGACAAGATTGGATATTTCACGCTGGATAACGCGGAAAACAACGATACTGCTATGGAGATAATTGGTGGAGAGCTGGGCTTCGTTGGCAAGACTAGGCGAGGGCGCTGTTTTGGCCACACTCTGAACCTCTCGGCCAAAAGCATACTTTTCGGCCACAAAGCTGACGCGTTCGAACGGCAACTATCTGGGCAGGCGCCTTTATCAGAAGCCGAGCACTTGCTTTGGCAGAAGAGGGGTCCAGTGGGCAAATTGCACAATGTTGTGGTATTTATCCATAGATCTGACAAGTTGACTGACTTGCTTCGAGAGCTCCAGCGGACCGCCTTCGACAAGTCGCCTGACCCTAAAGTCAGGACTAAGAAGCCTTTGGACGTTGTTTTGGATAACGATACTCGATGGCTTTCGCAGTTATACATGATCCGACGTGCGCTTCAGCTGGGTGATCACATTGAACTGCTTATCGCGCGATACCGGGTGGAGTTCGAACAACAGCATAAGACCAAAGGGGCACCACAAAGAAGTCTGCCAAACTGCCATATATTTGCGAGCCAGAACACCAGTTATCTGACAAGGACTGGGAGGTTCTCGAAATCTTTTCGCAGCTTCTAGGCTATTATGAGTGCACGATTAAGATGCTTGAAGGCGATGGCCAAATCCGCAAGCGTAAGCGTGGATGGATGGGCTCATATGGTAATGTTTGGGATGTTATCCAAGGCTTCGAATTCCTTCTTGACAAGCTTGAGGACTATAACGCTTTCCTGACCCCGAACACTTCAGGATTAACATCAATTTGGGTTGGCAGAAACTTGATAAGTACTACCAGCTGTTGAGCGAAACGCCTATCTATTATACTGGGCTGGCGCTCCATCCAGCGTACCGCTGGAAATGGTTCGACCGCAAGTGGGCCGGTAACCCTGAATGGATTCGTCAGGCCAAGCGAATCGTTCACGATGTATGGCACTACGAGTATCGTGAGACCAGGTTACCTCGAATGGCTGTGAATGACGAAAAACCAGCTCTCAAACGGCGGAAGACGTACAGCAATCCGTTCCAAGAATACCTGGAAGAAAACTGCTGCGCAGCACCAGCGATGCAAGGTGACGACAGCCTCGAGCCGTTTGAAGACGAGTATCAGCACTGGATTTCGAACCATGATAGTGGTGATGCCCAAGTTCGTGACCCTCTTGCTTATTGGCACGAGAAAAGGTTCAAGTATCCATGTCTGTCACGAATGGCCCTTGATTTCCTTACGATCCAGCCGATGTCCGCTGAATGTGAACGTCTTTTTTCAGCAGCAGGGACTATGGTAACACCTCTGCGAAGTCCGCTTGAAGCACAGGTTATTGGGACGTGTCAAGTCTTGCGTTCATGGCTTAGGGCGGGTATTATTCGAGATTTGGACCCTTTCTTTGTCTCAGTAGCCGAAGAGAAGGACAACCTCAAGATGGCTCACATGACGGACGACGAGCTTCAAGAGTGGGCAACAGCGTGGCTTGAGAATGTGGTGGAGTGCCACCAAGAAGAAAGTAGTTGGGAATAGCTTTACTACAACGAACAGCGGTACTTAATCAGGTCAGGGCGGGCGTCGAGAATAACTTCACACTCAAACAACTGCTGACATAATCGACTCATCCACTAATCCACGACGTCCATTCCACTTCACGATAGCTTCAAATGGATCCACTACACCGACGGGCTCCGTGGATTAAGGTCCATCCACTCCACTGGCTCCGCCAGTGGATTTAGTGGAGTGGATTGCAACTCTGCCGTGAATTGATCGGCCCCGGCCCCATCCTTGACAAATATGTCCAGATGTGAGACTTTCTTATTGCTTAATTGGAAGAAGTTGAGGGCAAAGGAACCTGAAATCACCGCGTTGTAGTGTCCTAATTGGGATCGGAACAGTGTAGCGTCTCTCACAAAGTTCTTGAGTGCGATATTAATCCCACAAATTGACCTAAGGGTACGGTCTTTGATCAAATAAAGTCGCCTGCATACTTGGAATAACTCCAAAAAGTCGGGAATGATCAAGTAGGAACGAAACACCTCCAGAATTGGAGGCTGAAGAAGCATCTCGACCAACTGTGGCTGGCGCTGCGATAGGGTATCTAAGTCCGTCATTGTGTAGCTTGCTGTTTTTTACTTAAAGGCGAGAAGACTTAGAGATAAACGAAATACATTATGGGTACTAAACCTGAAGGGGTTAAATATGGAAGCTTTTTATCAGGTGCATGACAATCACCAGGCATCAACCTACATCGTGAGGGCGCAGTTAGGCACCAAGTTAGCGCCTGACTTCACAATTGATTTAAATTACCTCACCTTGCAGCGGTAAAAATTTCTTTTTCGAAAAATGGTCTAGCGATGGGATAAGCTTGATTCTGACATGAGGTTAACTTGGATCTCTGACTAGTGCTTGGTTATACATTCAGGCAGGACAACGCTTTAACAGCAGCGCGTCGAATTTTGACTCCTGCCCATCCGGGTCTATTACCACGAATGTTAGACCTTGCGAACAATTCATAATATTTTCACTCTTTGAAAATATTCGTTAGATCATGGCACCTAAGCCTATAACGGAGCCTGCCGATACCGCGATGAGAGCAAAATTATTGGGAGATTCTCTAATTGGTGCAGCTAATGATGCAGAGTAAGCGGTATGCATATTGAGGCCTTCTACCTGCAAGTTGCTGTTGGCTCGAATGCAGAAAGATTGACTAACACCTAAAGCGGCGTGTCAGCTATGTTGGACAAGCGGAAGCATATCACTTCAGGAGAAGATAACATATGGGAAGACATAGGAAGCAAGGTGCAATAATATATATTTAAAATTCTAATAAGAATAAAATAAGATTTATTATACTTATAAAGATTCTTAAATCTAACCCGCACAATTGCAATTTCTTGTGTAGGTTAGATATACACTCTATGCTATCTCTTTTCCATCTTATTGAGAAAAGAAGAGACCCTCTCTAGTAACTAATGACTAAATCAACTGTAGTAGAGTTGATTTTACTGACCCGCTTTAAACCTAGTAGGGTTGATTATTGCCAGGGTGTAGGGTTGATTTTATGTTATTATCAGGGGTTGCCACAGAACGTGACACATCCTTTCGCGTAAAGTGCTATAAGAGGGTAATATCATACTACTAGACAGTCTCATTATTAGATAGAGAACTATTATTACTTAGATCTTACTATTAGCACCGAGTCACTATAACAGCTTCAAACATGCGACCTGAATCATGTAGTGCAATTTATCCCTATATTTTTCTCTTTATATACCGTCTTCTTATGTACCAGGCTTGTAGGTTTGCCTCTGTAGCCGATGAGGTTGCTATGCATTTTATAAAGCCAGATCGTTGACAGCAGCTGGTAGAGAAGATAAAACGGATCGCGAATATTATCTACAGTCGCGACGACCTACATCACTATTTACAGTACCCAACGGATATAATTCAATCCATCCCGTATCTTGCGTCGCTAAAATCAGATGGTTTGAAATGTCGTGCTTGCGGCCATATTGTTCGTCGCATCCAAGAGATACAAAACAATTGTACCTAGAAGCATCAATAGACCAACCCAAGAGGGCATAGAGATTGGGCTTTGCTCTATAATATAGATAACTTAACTCTACGCGATCCAATCCTCGCTCAACTACCACCATCAATTTACTAGCAGACAAACTCATAACCTGGCCTTGGATGTCACAGTCTTCCAGCAAGTCGATCGCGCATAGCTGTCATTAAACAGCCGAAGACAATTTGACCCTATCCAATTCTCGTGGTCATTCATTTGTGCGCGAGTTAAGCGTGCGTGCAAAATTTAAACCCTATTGTCGATGTTTCACCGAACTAGCTAGATCCAACTTAAAGAAGGCATACATCTTCCAAGGAACAGTCCATCCGGTGTGTTTCAATCAATCTTCAAAAGAGTTAGTAGTAAGACCAAGCTCCTCATTAGCCTGTTCAGCTTCTCGCTCAAAGGCTCCGTCGCAGGTCTTGTGGGCTGGAGCAGTAGCAGCCAATTGCGTCATTTCACCGGCATCTTCCTTCAATGCTGGGCCAACGATCATAGAACACAAGTCACTGAACTCCTCCAAAGCAGTCGACCACAACTGTATGCATAATAATACTAAGCAGAAGTCGTACCTTCTTGAAGTTCTTGTATAATGCGATTCAGCGTTGTCAAGCTCTGCACAAGTGGCTGCAGATGCTTACTCTCTATCGTATAGAGACCGCCTGCTAAATTACCCTTACCCAGCAGCCTGGAAGCTCCGGTGGTCCTAGAGCTGGTTGCAAAGCGCCGAACAATGTCTAAAAACTTGAAGTTAGTGTTCCGTAGCATGCACTGGCTTCCTACTGTAGGGCGATTTGAGTCGGAGAGCGCACCTGCAGTCTCTTCCAAAGATCTCAATAAGGTATGGGCAGACTCGTCCCAATAATCTTCATTAATATCATGAACAATCTTCCCAAACTGCAGGACCTCTGGGATGTTCTCATTGGCCACAATCTTGGTGTCTTTGGACGATAAGCTATACCTCGACCCATCTACCCATTGGTTAGTAAGCCTAGACCTTTCACAATAGTTACGCACCTGAAAATAGGCCTGAGATCTGGTCCAGAATCCCGGGATCTTGCGCTGCGCGAGGACGCAGGGCCAGCAGATTAGCTAGCACGGGCAGAAACCACACCGTCCCAAAATTCAATGCTATCTTCGCTGCCTCCACGAACTCGCAGGCGCTTGTTGCCTCCGGCCCAATATCCATATAGAACGACTGTCGAGACTTTACCACTGCTTCCGCCCACTGTATTTTACTATCTTCCAATTCCGCTTGGAATTGAGGTAGCATAGTGAACAAAGCATTGTTGATGATCTTGTCGCACGTCACCGTGGAAGAACGACCCGTCATGTTTGTCTGTCCTTGTGAGAGGAACTCTCCGAAGTAATAAACGCCAGAGTAAGTCTTATGTCGCTTGTTTCGCAAATGACGGAAGTTGTCGAGTCCTCTCGCTTCCCAAGTGTGGCATACACCTTTGACCATGATCTGTTGACCGTTGGGGACTTTGTCATAGAATTCCTCGATCAGGTCGAGGTCTCGTATGAATACTCCCTTTGGGAACATAGTGGTATCGACAATGCACAGATGAATTGCCTCCAGCTTAGCACCTTCCGTCTTATGCTTATAGATAGCGTATTCAATCGCGACAAGGAGCGAAGTTGTCCAGGATATGAAAGGGTCTCCGCATGATTTTGGCTCCCATCGAAGATGCTCATTGAGGGTTATAGCGATATTTGCAGCATTATCTCGTGCAAAAATGTCCGTCAGATTGTTTTCTAGGGCGTCAATAGATTTCATCCATTCGCTACTGTTCTTTCCAGCAGATGCATGTGAGTAAATGCGAAAGAGATAACGAGGAGTGTTGTTCAATTTCGTTGCGAGGTTGCCTGACGGGTAGAACGGAACCTCATCCGGTATTTCGTCACCAAAGCCAACATAGGTTCGTCGGCCAATACGCAATCCGGTGAGGTTTGCAGCTAGTTCATTCATGGCTTTTACAGGTGGATATAACTTTTCCCAGCAAGAGATAAACTCAATATTATGTTATAAAGAAAGCGATGCAGCAGTAGTCGGCGTCAAGGCGCGGGGTTAATCATATGAGATTATCGTACGGTGTTGTCAGCGTGTGGCCGGGGGTTCTGGTTCACACCACCGATGCCCAACCAAGTTTGCTGCCCAAATCATGGCGGCCACTCGGTCGGGTTCCATCACCCAGCATTGGCGGGGATGCGTCACAGTTTGGGGCGTCTTCGGGGGATTTGGCGCTAACATTACGAGCTTTTGTCATGAAAGGACTAGAGGTCACGGGATTTCTAAGATCCCGGAATTCCTAATAAGGCTTTCTAAGAGACTTGTTAAAAAACCACACGCTGATCCACGCCCAAGATGATCCGGGAGAAAATCGAAATCTAAGATATCTGATGAACAATGGTGAGCAAGCAGCGAGGCTATGAGTCATAGTGACTTAATGGTGGGATGCACAAGTGGCGAGGACCGGAACGCCACTATTCCAGTACGCAAATTCAACTTGGTGTTTAAAGCCACCAGCACACTTTTAGGTTAAACAAAACTACTATCTCTTCTTTAGGGCTCAGATTAGCATTCTAAGTTAATTTTTTTTTCAATTTCAATTAATATTGTAGTTATGGCATATCATCCAATATTGCGAAGATTGGATTCTCAATTAATCGTCACATTTCCTGTTACGGAGTAGTAAAGTTCGTCTGTTAAGCGTTACATTTTCTATTATAGACTAGTATATCTTATCAGTCAGCTCAGTTATGCCAATACTTAACCTAACAGTAATTTGGAAACCTACTGTAGTCAATTGTTACGATCCCAGTTCTTACATCACGTATACCCCACAAAACCTTACAAGACTTCAATAAGCAATTGAAAGCCAGGGCAGCAGAATTTCAGATCCGACTGAGTTTAATCGGAATATGCACTCCAGATATCCTCATCTGACGTTGTACTGTCGGACACCATATCCTCGATCTCACTCTCAACCCAACCCAGGTCTCGCAGACGAGCTCGCCGCTCAGCCCTAGGACTACAGTCCCAAATCAACTCTACTAGAGTTGATTTTATTGACCCACTTTAAACCTAGTAGGGTTGATTTATTGCCAGGGTGTAGAGTTGATTTTGCATTATTCCACCTATATGAAGAGTAGTGTTGATCACAACACGGGTTTACTATAAAGCGTGACGCATCCTGTCGCGCAACGCTCTATTAATTATTACCTGCTCCTTCAACTATTAAGCTCCCTGCTCTTTTTACTCGTGGAGTCTTCTCTACAGTCCAATATCCAGCTTCATATCACCTTTAACTACTGAGCAGTTCAGTTTTATCTATTCCGTTCTTTCACAATAACCACCACAGTCAACCCCATCATGTTAGGACCTAATACAACACCCGAGGGTGTGCACGAAGCGGAAAAAATGGTATCAGGTGCTAATACCAGTGGTGATTGGTATAGTAGGGAACGTCCAATCCTGAAAATTGACACCAAGCATCATCTTGACTCTGCGTCTAAATAATGGATCCGCCAGACGGTACAGTAATAAGGTGACAGTGGAAACCAGACAACAAGAGTACTATATTGCTGAAAAACACATCTTTGTTTTATTTACTCTGATTTGCTTATTTCCCAGCTATTACCGTTACATCGGGTAAAGGCTATTTATTAAGGATAATAGCCTTCCTTACACCCCTCAATTACATTTCACTACTAGCTATACTTTAGCATAGGAAGTTTACATAAAGCACAAATAGCTTTACAATATTTATTTAAACTATATTTATAAATCAGGAGTAATAGAGGTTTTTAGGATTTTAAAGTATTAAATCCATTCAGTACAAGATACTGTCTCATCCGGTCTGGAAATTTTAAACCCCCGCAAAATAACGGAGCAGACTATAGCTTGTTGCTGGTCTAGATTTCTCTAGAGCCACTCACTAAATGTCTATTGTCGAAGCTTAAGGGCAGGTACCATATATGCGATGCCGGTGACAGCCTCCAACACCAGCGCTCGGACATTGAGCAACATTTGGCGTTGAAGTATGCCCTGGCGTTTTTTTAAGTTGGTGTACTACGTAGTTAGTAACCATTCTTTAGCTCCAGCAGCTCTAGTTCGCAATGTCTACCACTGCAAGTCCTAGAGGATGCTTATACTATAACAAGGCAGCATACTTCAAATGTCCTAACCACCGTTAAAAATCCCTTTTCTAAAAACTTCTATGCTCCCGCCACCGTCAGATAACGCAACGCAGACGCAGCTCAGACAATGACACCCAGCGATCAACAGTCCGCGCCTAGCCAGCTTACGCAGAAGCTTTCCCTGCGGGATAATACGGCAATAAGCACCCATCTCGGAAATGACGTAATGGATGAAGTAAATCTACAAGCAACCAATCAACCTGCTCTATCTCCGTCTCCAAAAACCAAACACTATCCCCAGCATATCACTACCGCATCGGCGGGTTCCTCAGGCCTCGTACCGCCCAGACCAGGTCCCCGCACATTTCTCGGAAGGCTTGGATACAAGCTCAACCCGTGCTGCCGCTCCAAAGATGTGGCCAGCGGCGAACCTCGCAAGGCAGTCTGCAGTAATAAGAGATCATCTGCGCTTTGGCACTTTACTCTCTTCCACCTTCCAGCAATGCTGGTAACGTCAACTCTCCTGACCCTTCACGTTATAAATCTCCACTGGTCCCCCTCTCATCCTAACATCGAGGAAATGGCCGCTCTTCAGTTCGCCGCCAAGGCGCAGGAGAGCTTAATCCTTATCTCCTTGACCGACGTCCTTCTGCACAGAATCCGCTACGGGCTTCTCGGTAGGAACGGCGTCCCACTGGGCTTTCTCTTATCGCCTTTCAACATCGGCTTTTCGCTACGATATCTTGCCAGCCGAGAATTCTGGTCCCCAGCGGTAAACCCTACTGGGAAACGATTCTTTAATGCCATTACCGCTGCAATGATCTTCCTATTTTCGCTGTTGGGTCTGGCAGCAGGCCCGTCTGCTGCTATTGCTATGATCCCTCGGTACAATTGGTGGCAGCTCCCAGATGTTTCCGCTGAAGACCGGCCCGTGGTTGAACCAAACCCTTACCTTAGAAAGTTTGAGTCTCCTTATTTGAAACCAGACTTAGGGTGTCTTTCCGTCTTCAACAACCAAACCTGCGCGAATCATGACTTCGAGACAATATCCCGTGTACTACAGACGCTCGATATCACCACAATTCGATCTGGTAATGCGCCACCGATTATGATGGGAAATATAACTGTACCCTCTCCCATGACGCCGCCTCATAGGCAGATTACTCTATTAGTGAACAGCTACGGAGAGGAAGCTGGTGGAAGTATAGCTTATGCTACAACACCTATGGAATTTATTCTCGCCGGATTCAAGTTTGACGAGTTTGCGCCTGACGGAGTTCAATACCTCCGTAAATCCGAAGCATTGAAGCCTTCTGGAAGCGAGAAATGGAAACAACCTTTGGTAGCGGCTCACTGTTCTTTTTCCTACTTGCGTCGCCCTTTTAACTACACATCGACCTACTTTGAATTTGATGACATATATTATGACAATTTTAATGTCACAGTTGAATTCAGTGATTTCAACGATTCAATGGAATATCTCATGAAGATACCAACGAACGCGGGTGACAATGTTACCCGCTCAATGAACCCCGTCCTCCTTGATATCCGACATCTACTTCCTGTACCAGTTGCAACAAGTATTGTGTTTGCTCATTCCTATATAAGTTCATTTACAGACCTTCCCACATATCAGCCGGAACCTGAGATCGAGATTGGGCTTTGTCTGATCCAGGGGCGTTGGGTCGAGGCAGATGTCTTTCTCCATTCGAAGTCATCATCGGACATACAGAGCCACCTAGGGTTCCCACTTCTCGAGGCAATGGACTATATGCGACTGAAGTCTGATCCAGAACAATCTATCGAGATGACGGTTGAATGGTTAGAGGGGATTGGAGTTCCTCCAGAATCCGTCGGCCCGCAGCGAAAAAATCCGGCGTATCTCGATATGATGAATGGCTGTATTGACGCATGGTCTCGCGGCACTGGTGGTGCCTATTGCCTGCCGGGATCGCTTGCAGCCTATCTCGCAAATGCACTGGCTCGAATCACAACTCTGAAAGGCATGAAGGGGGATGATGAGAAGTTCACTCCCATCTTTGAACCCCCCGGCGCCAATTATACTTATGTTTATCACACATACTTCGAGCATGTATATGCTTACGGGTTTCAACCGAGCACAACCCTTCGCCTTGCCTTCGCAGCACTGTTTCTCCAAGCCGTCATTGCACTCATTCACCTAGCTGTCACCGTCTTTGTCCGACGCCCATGGCATAGCTTCGCGTGGGGAAGCTTTGCTCAGATCCTGACGCTCGCCCTACGGTCGAATCCGCCAGATCAACTAGAGAACGTCGGTGGAGGGGTTGAGAGGGCTCAAACTTGGAAACATCTTACGGAAGTGAGGGAGATTGGAGACGAGAGAGAATTGCAGATAGTTATACGCAGACATACGGCAATGTTATATCGAGATCAGACCTACTTAAATAGTGAGGAACAAGGACCACATCAGCTAAGGATTCCTCAGGTTGGAATTAAGTACAGATAAGAGCTTAAGATATTATACTGAGGTGTTAGGGTTGGGTTTGTCTATTACTGAGTCCCACTATCGCATGTGTGATCCAAGCCCCACCTTTACATATTATGTGATTCAAACATCATATACTGACTGACTCAAACTAGATACTAAATATGCCATAAAACTTATTAGCATAGTAAGAAACTATACATTAAGAGCTTAAGACTTGCTTTACTTATATTTCTATTAGTTCTTCTGGCTGGTTGTTGATATATTCGTCTTAGAAGTTGATTACCTCGTCGTCGGTCCCAAGCATTGCAGCCAATCAAAATTTAGCGGTCAAGATGTGGCCGTTTTTGGATATGTGGGGCTTTTTTTCAGCCAATCGTGAATTTCATGGTCAAGATCCGTCCATTTTCAGAAGCGTATCGCCGCTAACTCATATAAGGCCTAGCGCAGCATTCTAAAAAGCTAAGCCGAAAGGGAGACCTGTTCATTGTCTTCAATGCCTGTCTGTCTGTCTGACTACTAGGGTGAGGAAGAAGAAAAAAAAGAAGTTTATTGAGCATATTCTAAAACGCTACATTTTCAAATCTCATAATGATTACTCTTCCAGAGCTACAACCCAATACTACCGTAGAGTCGTGGACTAAACCTATTCCACGGAATGGGGCTGGCAGCCAGAATAATGGAACCCCTTGCCATAAGATCTAGCAACCATCTAAGCTAATTCCAATATAATCAGGAAGATTAGAAAAGACCCTGATGTTCATTGTAGTGAAAGAATTGGAAATAGGAATAGTGGTAGAGCCGCTATTAATAAGAAGGCATGACCCCGAATAGTAAAACGCAACGCGATCAGGCCGGATGCCTTGCGTTTTCTGCACACAACTGCCATCATCGCTGCGCCAGATCCGCACCGCCTTATCCTCAGAGGTAGATGCCAGAAGCTACCATCAGGTGAAAAGGCTACTGAGGTTACTCGGGCGAACTCCAATGGCGAAGCCATGGTGCTCACAAAGTTCTCGACGTCATATAGTTCGCCTAGAGCTACCAAATGAAGTCACTCGCCCCTTCGGTATTTTGACTATTCACGCAGGCGCCACTTGATAACAGTACCTGGACAATATCCTCCTGTCCATAAGCCGCTGCAATATATACCGGTAGCGGAACAATACCATCTACTCCCTTTGCATTGACGTTTGCCCCTCTACGTGCCAGAAGATGGACGTCTTTAATTCCTTGGCTACCAGACGCGTAATGAAGAGGTGTCATTTCTGAGGAATCAATTGCATCGATATTGGCCCCAGCCCTTAGTAGCTTTTCGGTATTTTCGAGATTGCCGCATACACACGACAGATGTAGGGGGGTTTTGTTGTTGGCATCCTGTGCGTCGGCGCTTTTTGGGAAAAGCTGGAGTATGTAAGAAAGTGCGTCTGAGCCTTGAAGCCATCCCACTTCTGGAAAAGAAGGTATTTTCATCCATGTACTTACATGTTCTGCAGGCAAGTAGGCACTTAGGAACTGTGCAAAGCTGCCAGCCGCCTAGTGGGCAGATGTTCTTCCTTGACTGTCTCGATTCTCCGGGCTTAGTGCCTGAACCGAGAGGGACCCATGAGCGTCAGAAATAAAGATGCTGGGTGTAGATGGAATCTTGTAATCCGACAAGTGATAAGGCATGACCGGGAGTCACACCCAGCTATGATACATCGCTTGGCCCCCCACAAGCCAATTGTCAAGTGAGTGCGAAAGAAATGTCCCGGTTGACAAACAATCGCATACCACTTAAGGAATGAGCTTGAATCATCGAGAAGATTGTGGATTAAAGGTAACAGGGGCGACCAGAGTGATCCAGAGCGATCCATGTGATAAACCCAAAAGTCGGCTGCATAGCTGAGAAAAGGATGCTGGGAAGTTATTCGGCGGATCTCTTCCATGCCATGATCTCGACCTAGAGCCACACAATTTGCAGTATATTTCAGGCAACATCCAGCAAGTCAAGCATGTGCTTCATCAGTGTTGATATGAAAATCTGCTGGGCACTTGTCTCCATCTTCTAAGTAACTCTTCAACGTGGTGTGAAAGGGCCGCACCACGTCTTCCTCAATCTTCAGAAGCCCTCGGCAAGTGTGAATAATATCATTCTCCAGGCAGATATACCCAGAATCCCCTCCTCCAGTGGCAAGGCAAGCCTCCATTTGCTTCAAGCTCAGTGGAGTCGCCGAATTGATCATAATGCTCAGGATCGGTTTAATGCTGGCTGTCACTCCATTGTCTTTCAAGCCTTCTGTTGCTTGCTTCAGTATCTCCTCGTAGATTCTCCTAAGCTTCTCGTCTCGTCCTCTGGGAAAGGGGTGGATTGTGTCAAGTACTGTGTCCAGCCTGGAGCCCCGCCGAAGAAGACCTTCGATAACCAACACCACCCAGAGAAATACGCCCTCTGCGCGATACACAATCTCCAGCTCAAGTTTGGATGCAATATCTGCCTTTGCAGGCGCCAAATACCACCTATCTAGCTCATCATGAACATATTTCCTAATATCATAAGTATTTTCTTGCATTACGTCAATATGGTGGGGAACTGG